TTTAGGACAACAAGTCAATGCAATGGGAGGATTTGTGGAACAACAACAAAAACAACAACGCAAATACGATCCATTCTCCAATACTTACAACTTCGGATGGAAAGATCATCCAAATCTGCGGTATGGAAATCCAACCAATTTCAATAAATTTCAGCTGCAATATTAGTAGAGATAATAGGCGACTCCATCACTTGAAGATATTGTCAAGGCTTTGGCTAATAACACTCAACAATTTCAGAATGATACACGAACTTGTATTCAAAATTTGGAGAGGCAAATAAGTTAGCTTGTGACATCAATTAGCAAGTATGAAAATTTGAGTAATTTGCCTTCTTAAACTGTTACTAACCCTAGAGAAAATGTGAGTGTTATTGTTTTGCGAAATGGGAAAGAAATTGCAGGTCCTACTCAAAATTCATCCAATTCGGCAAAGACACAACAAGGAGACAAGAAGGAAGAAGACGAACAAAAGGCTTCATTAAAGGTAAATTCTCCACCAACCACAATTAAGTCTACTAATTCAATTCCTTTGCCTTTTCCTAGCAGATTGGCTAAATCAAAGAAGGATAAACAAAAAAAAAAAGAAATTCTTGAGACTTTTCGGAAGGTGGAGGTGAACATACCACTCTTGGTGCAATCAAGCAAATCCCAAGGTATGCCAAATTTTTGAAAGAGTTTTGCACAACAAAACGAAGGTTACAAAGGGATGAAAAATTAAGTGTGGTGGAGAATGTTTCAGCCGTGATACAATGTAAGTTGCCTCAAAAGTATAAAGATCCAGGTACATTCACTATTCCATGTGTAATCGGTCACACCAAGTTTGAGCGTGCCATGTTAGATTTAGGTGCATCTATTAATGTTATGCCACAATCAATTTATGCATTCCTTAACATAGGTCCTCTTGAGAAAACTGGGGTGATTATTCAACTAGATGATCGTTCTAATGCTTATCCCGAAGGGATAGTTGAGGATGTTCTTGTGCAAGTTAATGACTTGATTTTTTCAGCTAATTTTTATATTTTGAATATGGAGGATAGTCATTCGGTAAGTCCTGCACCAATTTTGCTAGGACGTCCATTCCTTAAAACAACAAAAACCAAGATTAACATCGATGATGGAAACCTCACAATGGAGTTCGATGGGGAAGTTGTCAAGTTTAATATTTATGAAGCTATGAGGTATCCAAATAATGATGCTCATTCTGTTTGTGCCTTTGCCTTTGATGTTATTGACAACTTTGCGCAGGAAGTCTTCGAGTCGTTAGAGACGGATGAGCTAGAATTTGTGTTGAGACGAGGCTTGAAGGAAGACAATTCAGTTGTGCTGCTAAACTTTAATTTTGAAGAGACAATGATGTAACTTCAATCCTCACCACCTATTTCAAAAAGGTATGAAATTAAGAGCTTAATTTCACCAGCTTCTTATACAAAGTCGTTACCTTCTGTGGTGTAGGCACCGGTGCTAGAGTTATCAAGGTATGGAAATCCAACCATTATCAAGGTATTACAAACCCCAAGTCAATGTCATTTACTGACATAGACTTGGTTGGGGTCATCCTCCCCTATGAAGAAGCTCTGATTATCACTTTGACAATTGAAAATTTCAATGCAAAGTGTATCTTGGTGAACTCAAGAAACTCTTTTGAGGTGATGTACTAGAACTTATTTCAAAAGATGGGGTTTGGGCCCAAGGACTTTAAACCCATAAAGATCCTTCATGGATTTCAATGGATCATACGTCTTGCCACTTGGGAAGATCACCCTCCTAGTAATGACCAGGGTCGTCATCCTGCCAGTGGAGTTTGTAGAGATCGAATCTGACTCCCTCTATAATGTTATTATGGGAAAGACTTGGTTACACACCCTGAGAGCAGTACATTCGTCCTATCACCAAAAGCTATTCCCCACCTCCCAAGGGATCATGGAGATATGTTGGGACCAAGATGCCTCCAATAGTTGTTTCTATGTGATCAACTAGACCAGGGTTGCTATGAAGGCCAAGGAGCAAGACGCAAAGACGGTCTTGGCAAAATAGTAATCAAGGTTCAGCCAGTTCAGTGTTGATGAGCCCTGAGTAGAGTTGGTCGAGCAATATGTGGAGGAATTGATCACTGTCTACTTCCACTCAAATGACAAAGAAAAGTTCTACCTCATTGGGTCGTCATTGATGGTGGTCGAGCAAGAGGAGATGTTGAGCTTCCTTTGGCAGAATGTCAACATTTTTGCATGGACTTCCCCATGAGATATGTGAGGGGCATAAACCCTGGGGTTATATGCCACCAGCTTCATGTTGATCCGATCTCAAATGGGGGTAATCTATCCTCAATAATTTGAAAAATAGACCTAAATAGTTGTATCATAACCTACGGTCGTTGTAACTTTACCCAATTTATTATACTAATTAATCCTCAACCAGTCATATACCCTAATATCAGGTGGTTGTAACTTATTTGAATTCAAGGAAACATTAAATCCTTTTCTATCTTCCCCTCAAATGGTGATAACTTTACCTCAAGTAATTTTAAGTTTAAACACAAATGATGGATACATTATTTTTTACAATTACCACAAAGCTTGTAACTTTATCAATAGTAATTGTAATGTTTGATAATGGCTTTGTAACTTCACCATAAAGTTTGTAACTACCCACATATGTTGAAGCCTTGCTTGAATTTTCAGAATCGACGTCAAAAAATTTCTCGTTATTGATCAATCGCAAAAGAATATGATCAATCATGATTCTTTTTTAATACTTTCAACAAACCAGTCTAGTTGGTGCTTCTTCTCCTTTGGGCAAAGGCTTTTGTCACCGTCAACTCCATAAACTTTTTAGTATGTTACCAACTTTTGTATTGTCAGTACCATAGACTTTCCCTAGTCGGGATATTTTGTATTAATAATATAGAAGATGAAGTCAAAGTGAGAGCAAAGATGAACACGTTGTGTAGTCATAATGCTAAACAACAACAAAACACTATATACAAACAATAAAATAGAATATATGTTAATATAATCAGTCACAAGTAGCAATCCAATTCACCAACTCCTTTGAAACCAATGCCCAAAAAGATGATATGATGTAGATACAATTCCATAAACCTTCCACCACCTCACACTTGTCTTGAAAAATTCTTGCACTGCTCTCCAATTAAGTCACCCAAATTGTGTGCATTCACAAAGAGTAACTCCTTTACTCTTCCTTCCAAAACAATTAAAACATAATTGATATAGAACTTGGAGCCACCTAAGAATGACCAACCATATTGAACAATTTACTCCATAAAGTCAACCCAATCGGGTAATACAAAAATAAATGATCCACATTCTCACAATCATTCTTACACATACCACACCATTGTGACTCGAGGCATGTTTGATATCTTAATTTTTGAAGTAGATCAATAATGTTGATCTTGCCACGAACAATAACCCATTCCCAAATTTGCACTTTTAAAATGAAAAATTGGAAGAGAATAGTCATCAATCAAGGAATTGAAAAAAGATTTGCAAGAGAAGAAGCTCCAAAAAGGTCGACCTTATCTTATATAAGCACATTCCCGACGGAATAGACAAAGATGACAAAAATCAGCCAATGGAAGTCGAAACTATCATATTATGATAGCCCAAACACACAATATAGATGATATTGGATTCATTTATTCCTATATCTTTCAATTATTCTCTGAGATCATAGCATCTTTGTTTAAAATAGTTCCTTTCCTTTGGCCCTAGCCTTGGCTTGGTAGGCTGGGGTAGGAATGTCATTTGTTCTATTATTTTTCTTACCCATAGGATGGCAAGAAAAGCACAATGTCATAGAGTCATCGCTATTTTATGCCGCCCTAACCCCTCAAATTTCTCCACTAGCATTGTTGAAAATGTCCAAGGAATCACCCAGGACACCAACTGCTTGAAATAGTTTGGACCATAATAACAAAGCAATAGTGCAATGCAAAAACAATTGATCAGTAGTCTCACTTGCACTTGCACACATGACATACCACTGTGGAGAAATGCAAAGAAATGGTCTTCTTTTTTGAAGCACATCATTTGTATTTATCCTACCATGAGCTACACTTCATGCACAAACTTGCACCTTAATAGACACCTTAACTTAGCGGTGACAAATTTTGACACGACACAAACTCGACACAAATTTAATGGTTTAGGTTGACTATTTTTTGACATGAATTCGTAGATAACATGACCAGCCAACACAAATAACTAACAAGTCGTATCCGAGTTCAACCCGTATAGCCCGATATTAACCCACGTAACTAATCGTGTTGACATGTTTAATTTTAGAGCAATGTTACAAAACTCAAATAAAATCCAAAAAAATTGCAACACAAATACATAGAGGTTTTCCCCAAAATCAACCCCCCTCAAAACTTTATTCCCACATGCAGTCAGTTTTAAACTTATTTTTCAAATCCAGTTTCTTTTTAAAAACGTCATTTGGAATGACGTTTTTAAACTGAAATTTTTTTATGTAAAATGTCATTTGTAATGACTTCTTTAAAGACGTCATTCCAAATAACGTTAAAAGTAGTATATTCAAACGACATAACTTAACAGACGTTAAAAAGTTGTTGACTTAAAAACGTCATTGCAAATGACGCTCTATGCGAATAAAATTCCAATGCCCCTTTCCCAAATCAGAAAATCCCTAATTAACCAAATCCCAGTTAGCTCTCAGTTACGCAAATCTGAAATCCCCTTTCCCAATCAGCCCAAATCTCTCAGTTACCCTCTCCACTTCTACCAACGAAGTCCACTCAGGCGTAGGCAACTAACTCCGATGAAGAGCACTCCTCTGGCAAAGATCACTTACTCGATGAAGACCATTCTAGTGAAGAATTCGCAAAAATGAAGATCCCAAATCCCAGTTAGCTCTCAGTTACCCAAATCCGAAATCCCCTTTCCCAATCAACCCAAATCTCTCAGTTACCCTTTCCACTTCTCCAACGAAGTCCACTCAAGCGCGGGCAGCTAACTCCGATGAAGACCACTCCTCCGGCGAAGATCACTTACTCGACGAAGACCATTCCAGTTAAGGATTTCGCAAAAACGAAGACAACTCCTCTGTTGTCGTTAGAAGCCCACTAAGGTAAATAACACACTAATTTGCATGTTGTGTACTTCATTTGATAATTTTTACATTTTAAGGTTTTCTCCATTTACATGGATACTGCTCAAGGCTGATTTGCTTTCAAATTGTTAAGCTTGAGTAAGATGTCTGCTTACTTTGAATATATGTGAAGGCTCTGCTACACGAACAAAGTGGGACACTCATGTTGTTTCTGTGCCCATTTGCCTAGCCCTTTTGTGAGCTTGTGATTGTGAATGGAATTTTGAAGTAGAGAGGTAGGCGTAGGTGTACAGGGGAGATTAGATGAGATTATTGAGATTTGCTATATTATTTCCATTCGAGAAATTTTTAAGGGAGTACTTGTGGATCTTCTTAGTTTACCCTTATACACTATTGTACATTAATGTTTAGTAGTTGTTGGTACAGTAATGTTTAGTACAAAAATTTTTAATATTTTTTGGAAAATTAGTAGTTGTTGGTTTCAATTGTCGTCTATACATCCGACCTCTTGTCATCCTAGCACATCAGTCATAAGGCCATTGATCTAATAATAGTCTCTATCCTTTTGAGGATATATGAGATGAAGATTGGAAGATGAAAGCATTTATAAAAAAAAATTTGTGGAAATGAAATTTAGAAATCAACTTTGAATAATTAAGCAAAAGTAACTGTTTAAAAGAAGTCATAGATGTCGATAAGTACAGCAGCTATGTGGTATTATTGAAACATCTGAGAAAAGGACAAATAAAGATATTATTAGTAACACTATACACCACAAAAAGGAGAAAGGGAATGCTTGATAAATATATTCTCGACATGTATGCTTTGTTGAAAATTTTGACTTCTAAATGGAAGATGTTCTTCCTTTTGTAGTGTAGTAGGCAAGGATAGGATTTTGTGCTTTTGTTGTATTTTAATTTTTGGATTTTCCCTTCTATAAATTTTAATCCGAATCTATAATGTCTATGTTGTTATTAGATGAAAGCAACAATGTGAAAGCTTTGGCTCAAAGACAACTGCAACATTTGAACTCTTCTCCTGTTAAGTGTTCCACTAGTGGTAAAAATATAAGTGGTAAAAATAATTAAGGATCTGTGTTGGATTCTCAATGCCTTATTAAAAGTCAGTCCTGTTGGATATTCCTAATCACCTAATTGTGCCTACAGTTATTTAAAGACTAGAATTATCTGGTCCAATTTTTGCCCATAGTCCTACTGTGAACCACCGTCATCTGTGTTTTTAATTTCTTTATTTTTTGTTAGTTCTAACATATCACTATAAGTTGGTTGTTTATTCCTAGATTAAAGAACAACATATCACTATAAGGTGGTTGTTAATTTCTTTATTTTCTGTTGGTTCTAGCATATCACTTATGCGAGAAGATTGTGCAGCTCAGTACCCTGACAAGCGGCCTTCAATGTCTGAGGTCACAAGGCGGATCGAGGAGCTCTGCCGTTCAAGTTTGCCAAATGATCCACAGCCTAATGTCGTGAAAGAAATTGATTAAGTATCTGTTTGTGTCAAGGATGCCACAATTCAATTAAACAAGGGTTACCATCATCAATTTACTGTGCCCAGTTTTAGATTGTTAAACCTTGTGTTTATGTTGTTCTTTAATCTGGGGATCGTTGTGTTTCATTAAAATTTAACTGTTCATTTTCTTTTTCTCAATCGCCACTATAAGAGCCTTTTATGATTTCCTCTGGGGGGGGGGGCCAAAAACTGTTCAATTTGTCATTGTTGGCTTGTCATGGTTGCTATAATTATTACTTTAGCTTTTACATTTGCTTTTGCTTTATGAACCAACTTTATGTTTTTCTATTAAAAATATGTTTTACAAATACGTTTTTATATTGAAAAATATGAGTTTAAATTACGTTTTTATGAAATTTATTTTTGATTAGAAAATAAGTTTAAAATTATTATGAAAAGGGAACTAAATTCTAAAATTGATTCAATTTTGTTTTTTTTTTTGTCTGGTGAATTATAATGTGAGGGAGGTGGTTAGATCTACATATTAAATCTGCCTAGGTAAAGATGGCATGTCTTTATTATTCTCATATCTTTATACAACCCCAAATTAAACTATTCACATCTCTTTCTTGTAAGTTGGTTGCTTTTTAGTTGGACTCATTACAAGTTAGTTGGAGACATAAAGGTGCCTCCTTGGTGATAGGAAAACGTTATTTACAATGACGTTTTTTACCTCCATTTTTTTTTAACATTTGTTAGTTACTGTTTAAAAATTAATTTTAAAAAGCGTCATTAAAAATGATGATTTTAAAACATCATTTTAAATGACATTTTTAATAAAAAAATTTCAGTTTAAAAACGTCTTTTGAAATGACATTTTAACCCACAAGGACATCATTCATTCCAAATGACATTTTTAAAAAAACACTGAATTTGAGAAATAAGTTTAAAATAAGTTAGATTTAAAAATAAAGATTTGAGGAAGACTGGGTTCGGAGAAAAGTTTAAAATACATATCATATTTTGGATGAGTAAGTCTCATCTTTTTAGTAGGACCCGCGCATGTATACCTTGTCTAAACAGATTAAACTTTACCTTGTTTTGTAGATTCGAAGTTGTAATTTAACCTTTGAGAAACCCTCCAAGGGAGATTGACTTTGTAACAGTTTTAAATTCCACTTTCTAGGGATTGTAATCCCCAAGTTTATAGATTTTGATTATTGTAATAGAATCACAATTTTGAAAGTGGCAAGTGTTTACTCAAAACATCAACAACGTGCTTGTGGGTGGCAATGTGCTACAAATGATGTGCTCAGAGAATCCAGGGCGTCACAAGTGAGTATCAAAACTATTACATAACATACCTGAGCAACTGAGTGTTACAAGCGGGTATCAGGACTAACAACAAAGGTGCCCGTGAAAGCTAGGGCGTTACAATAGGATTATGATACCCACATTTTTTTTTTTTTCTAAACTCATTTAATATTATGATTCCCACCTACTACACAATATTAGGATGACAGAACTAGGTAAATAGTGTTTCTTAAGCATTGTATGATGTATACAAAATTAAAGCAGAATTTCCATTCATTAGGTCATTCTTATAAATAGTTTCAGGGGATCAAATCAGGCTTCAATTCTTCTCAAGGTACAACATTAGTCAAGACACTCAAGACATGTAAGATGTAGCATGATTACACAAAAAATTCCTAAGAGTAACAATAAAGAGCATCCTTAAAAGCCAATATTGTTAGTGCAGTGCAGAAAAAGACAAACAACCGTTGTCCTAAATTTGCAAAACTAGTTGTATTATTATTCCATAGTAATACAGATTGCAGGTTCAACAGGTAGAAAATAACATAAGGATTCACCACTCTTTCGTTCACATATTTCACAAAATTTAAAAGGAAATCCAGGAATGACCACAATGTTATAGCATCAAGGTAAAAAACATGCATCATACATTCAGTAACTCCACATAAATTTACCACTCACCCAAAATGGCATTTCAAGGACTCAGGGAAAAGGACACAGCCTGGATAAAAAAATCGAGCCAATAACTCTATGTTGGAAAACATAGAGAGATATGCTGAATACCTGGTAGAATTAAATCTGAAGCTTTCGGATTGATTGGCTTGGTTTACGAGCTTTCCCACGAATCACATACTTGGTTCACGTCCGGATGTCACGAAAACACCAAAGATCATCAACCAATGTGAATAACCTTCATCACCGAGTAAAACAGCTACTAGAGTTTTCTACCAAAATTACACATTCCAAATGCCAAGGATTTTAATGGTGCCTAGAGATAGAACTTGAAGAGAGACATCGAGTTTCGAGGGAGAGTCTTCAATAATAAATTTTGATGATATGAATTGTGATCCACCCATGCGTTTATATAGACAAGGAAAAGAGAAGGCCAATCAATCTCTATCACTTGATCAAGTCCCTCCTAGGACTACTATGAACTAATCCTAGTCTGATTAGGATTTCCATTATCTATCCAAATTAGGCAATCCTTGTCAAATTCAATTAACTCATGCCCATGTAGATGCACCTATAGGTCAAAACCATGCTACATTTCCCACTCGTATACAATGGGCATCTAATACTCTACATATTAAAGATGATGGTCCTATTCCCATCAATTTGTTTGTATATTTTTGCTTCATCATAGTAAAGTATATGCATCATATTGTAGGGGAGAAAGGGAATAGCATTAAAACAATGACAATTCATCAGAGAAAAGAGAACAATATGAGCAATCCAGAAAGCGTTTATAAACGAAGACCCAAGCACATGCGCATAGCATTAACTGGAATACTGGATAATCTCCTTAGTTGGAAAGGTAAGCTGCATACCATAAGCAAAACATTGCAATCATAAGTTGCATTACTACATCCGTATGGCAAACACTACTGCATGTATAAAGAAGCAATTTACAATCCCATTAAGTTGGACAAAGGAACATCCAGCTACAATGTTTTTTGTTTTTTGTTTTTTTGGGATACAAAACAAGCACCCAATACAAGTTTTACAAGCAATATATACACAACAGACTTGTAATGCCTTGTATTCACAAAATACAATTTATTTCACCATGTCGATCAGAGAGTAAATATCCTCTGACAAACAACGGTAACCCTATGACGCCCAAGAGAGTTTCAATCCAAACCACAAACAAACAGACCCACATTAAGCTTAGTAACAATCTTTGATATCCATCAACTGAAAACAGTAAAATTATACACATCATACCCACAGTCAATAATAATCGCCCCTGCATTCAGTGCATTCAAGAACAACAAGTTGAGCACCTTATCAAACCGTTCTCATTACACTCTGTACACCGCTTCAATTGCTCATCATCCTCATCAAAAACCTTCCTACTCCCACTGCAATTCATGCAAGGCACAAACCTCACATCCCCACATTCTTCACACACATACCCAGGTGCTCGAATCGGCAACCCTTTAAGAATTTTAGCCAATTCACCTACCTCGTGTAGTTGTTTGACCACATCACCCCCTCCTATATACTTTCCCCTTACAAACACTTGTGGCAAAGGCAATTTTTTCTCACCCAACACACTCTGTAACTCTTTCTTGTACGCAGAATCCATTGAAATGTCTCTGTCATCCACATTTACCCTAAACCCCCTCAATATCATCCTCACAGCATAACAGTCCTCATAGGTCCTCCTAATTCCCCGTAAACTCGTAAAATACACCACAACCCGATCTTCTGTGCCCGGTAATAGAACTGAATTTTCATTCGGAATACCAGAAACCCGAGAATCGGAATCAATAGATTTTGTGGGTTTCGACAGTTTAGGGGATGATAATTGAGGAGGTGAAATTGGGGGTTTGGGGGATTCGAATAAGGTGCAGAGCTTTCTAACCTTGCCTTTCACCGATGCGAAGGAAGAATTGTAGAAATTCTTGATTGAACCGGTTCGTTCGAGGGAGGGCTTTTTGGGGAAATCGGTGGAGGTTGAGTGAATGGTTAAGGATCGATTGAAAATTGAGGACTTAGGATTTTCCAGAAATTCGGATTCGTTGTTGAATCGAGCCATTAGGGTACAGAGAATTCGAGCTCTTCAGAAGCTTTTAGGGCTGAAATTAGGGTTTTCACCTTTAATTTTGGGTCTTTATGGTTCAAATCAGAGTTTCTCCTTTTTTTTTCAGGTTCCTTAGAATTAAAATCAAGGTTTTTTTTTACGGGTATTCAAGATCGAGCTGATCTTGATTGGAGAACCTAAGAGAAATGAGGCTTTTGATGGGAGGTGTTGGTAAAAATTAGGGTTCTGCGGTGATCGGTGGAGAAGTGGTGATAGTGGGAGAAAGATTGGGATGCTCTTGACCGTCGGTTCAGAACTAGACGGCGGTGATGAAGACGAACAAAGGTGAAAGCTTGGCGATGATGAAGACGAACAAAGGTGAAGCTTGGCGGTGGATTTGATTCGGTAGGTGGGCGGGTTCTGTGGATAGATGCTGCTTTTGGAGGGCAGGCGTGGCTTGAAAGAAATTCCAGAGAGAGAGAGAGAGAGAGGGAGAGAAATGTATATATATAGAGAGAGGGAGAGAGAGATGGAGGGGAGCTTTTTGAAAAGGTGGCGCTGAGGAAGGGGCACGAACTGAGCTGAGGTCAGTGTCTACGTGTACTGTTGATTTAAATGGAAGACGAGGTTACGCAGCAACACCATATGTGTTTTATTTTGAAATAAACTAGAGATAACACCTGCTTAAAAACACGATCAAATTTAAAAAATATCGAACACGAAATTTAAGCACCAAATATTCAAACACTGAACTCAAATGTGTATTAAGCTAAAACCTAAACTGTCCTCATAATCCGCAACTGAAATTGTGCAATTCAAAAAAAAAAAAAAAAAAAAACTTACATTATTCTTGAAAATAGAATAATCAAACACTCAACATAGACATGCTAGAAATAAACAAACACTGAATATTAATCGTGAATACAAAATAATCAAGTATTAAAATTGGACCGGCACTAAATTGAAAACCTAAAATGCATCCTTTAATACATCCGCATTTTACTTAAGTGATCAACAAAGTATTACATATATAAAAAAATAAAAATTCTAATAATAAATGGCAACAACGTAAAGTGCTACTAATCGAAGGCAAACATTGTAATAAATACCATTACGATTCAAACAAAGATGCCAAGCATTAGACACATATGATTTAAGGCACCACTTCAACAGGTGCAAAACCCTTCTCAATTGATGCCATGACACCATCTATCACCAGTTGTGTCTTTCTACTAATGGTAGGCCACTTCTTCTCAGGCGATGCACCTTTTTTGTTAATACCAGCAACCAAAATAGCAAACTCCCGCACCATGAGGGCTTCCTAAGAAAGATTTGTATCGATCGCGTGCTCACTTGGTACGAGTTCAATCCCTGTAGAGAGTTTTGCAAACCTCGAGTTCAAGGCTTCATAAAATGTTATTCCTTTCTCTTAAAAAGGAATGACAAAGTCATGAACACACAGATATCCATTTGTTCCAAGAGCTGTTATGTCCATGGTCAAATTAGTCAGGAAAGAGCAATAGAAGGTTGCTGTTTTCCCATCTGTCCAGCGTAATAGAGCACCGCAAGATAGAATCACACATGCTTCATTGTATTCAGGCTCAGGCAAAGCCGTTACTGTTTTAGGTAGTTCATATTCATTAGCCCATAAGATTCCCCTGGTGCAGTACCACCCAGTATCACCCAAAGCTCCAAGAGCATCAAGATCAAGTTTAATGCGAATGTCATTCTTGAGAAATTCAGGACCAATAACTAAAAATGTTGTGTACCTGTAGTAAAAAATTAGCCAAAAATCATCTTCAGAGCATATATAGCAAACCCCAACAAAATGTTGAACATTCAATTCTGTATTTACCTAACAAGGGAAAAAAGACATGGAAGATGTAAGTGACCTATTCTTTTAACCAATCTATGAATTCAGATTTCATTTTTGTGTTTCTTAGGCTTGAAACGTTAGTCTGCTGCATATGATTAAGGCAATAATAGTTCTTAGAATTACTTTGTTAAATCATTTCTAATCACTACATATAAGGATACAAACAAAAGTGGACTTGTGCCAGCAAACGAATTGAAAAGTCTATCCTCAGTCCTCACCCTCAGAACATGATTATCCCATGACCCTGTCTTAGAACCACTCTTGACAATTGATGATACCACTGCTATGAAAATGAAACAAAATTAATAAAACAAAATCTTAACAAAAGGAAATAAGAAGAACAACAATGCAAAGACGACATAGAGGCCTAGTAGCAACCAATATTTCAAAGAAACTCACCAGATTCAACTACCAAAAAAATTAATTTCAAAACCCACATTGACAAACCATGTCAAAGAGTGAGAATATATACCTCTATAGAAAGTGTAGTCAAGTTTCACCGAAGGGAAGAGGGGGAAAGGGGGGGGGGGCTGCGTGAGAGAAACACAACTCAGTTTGATGAACATACAAATGCAAAATTTGTCGTGGAAATAAAAAAAAACCCCAAGGTAAAACAACAACTAATTAAACTTACTAAAGCATAAAAAAGAAAGGAACTTTAAAAGCCAACTTTAGAATTAACCTTCATTATTTTTCCAGAAGAAACTCACCTCAAAACCCAAACCTTTATATAGTCATCTCAAAAACACATGTTCAATTTGAAGTGAATGTCTTTAACCTATCTATGTATACCACATGAAGTAAGCAACTGGGAAAGATTATAGAACCCACGCCTTTCTATAGTAACCCAAGCCTACCCACGTCAACCTCCTACAATGCAAAATAAATTGCAATTGTTGATACAAAAACTTTTAATATATGTTTGAATCAGTCCATAAATAGTCAAGCCTCATGAATATACAAAAAGGTCTAAATACACTTGCCCCAAGCAATCTAAATCACAAACAGTAAGTACATACATCATAGCCAAGCCAAATTCACCAAGGAAAGGAGAGAGACCAAGAATCAGCTTAATAAGAGCACAAATATAACTATGAACACCACCACCACAGAACAGCTGATTACGACAAACCTAAAAGCAGAAAAATCAATACTGCATATAAACTACACGTATCAACCAAAAAAAATACACAGAGAAACAAAAATAACTATGAACACCAGCTGTTGTGTGAAACAAACTGCATTACAATTTACATACATAAATGTGATCGAGAGAGAAAGAGACAAAGAGAGTGAGATCCCATGTGATTGAGAGAGACTGTGAGATCTCATGTTTCCCCAAATATCCATAGCACAAAATTAATAACCGATATCCATAAACTATATTCCATCATCAATAACCAAATTTAAACGAACAATTGACAATAAATTTCACAAAAGTAACCATCCACAAACTACCGAAATTTCACAAAATTTCAATAATCTAAAAACCTCAGTGTTTTGTGTGCATGTGTTTGCCTGATGTGTTGTGTGTGTGTGCATGTGTTTGCCTGATGTGTTGTGTGTGTGTGCATGAGTATGTGTTTTGCGTGGAGTGAGCGGAGAGGAGAGGAGGGGATGGATATTTTGTGGGGTTGGGTTGCGTAGAATATTTTAATAAAAAAAAATCAAAGTAAATAAATAAAATTAGAAACAAAAATGAGACAAATTAGATACAGCTAGAAAAGAAGAGGAGGAAAGGAAAATCCAAAAATTTTCTCCATTTTACCATAAAAAGTAGTAGTCACAAAAGACCAATGCACACACATACCCACACACAGAAAAAACTTTACAGTGCGGACTCACCTTGCCTTCTTTCTATAGACGTTATCTAAAAAAAGAAAGAGGTAAAATTTCAAATCATTGAAGCAAAACAACAAACATCTTGTCTTAACAACTACCATAAGCTATATTTAGTAAAAATTATGTTCATCTCACCTAAATGTCACCATGCAAAAGAGAGGGGAGAGAGAGAGAGAGAGAGAGAGAGAAAGACTTTTGAAATAGTCTATTTTTTTATTGATTAATTCAAGTATAGAAAAACCAAGTAAAAACAAAATGATGCCCAAAAATTCTACTTGGCGCCATGGAAGCAAAAAATTCAAGCAAAAACAATCTATATAATTTACACCATGAAATTTCACATCAAATAAAGCTTAACAAAAAAACTCACAATCCCTAATTATAGATCCCACAAAATTCAAATAAAATCAAATCGTAACAAAATTTAAATCAAACCAAACATAGATTTGCATCAAATAAAACATAATTAGAAAACTCACATCAAATCGAATCTAAAGTAATAAGCACAACTTTCAAGCAATTTGGGCCTACTATATAATTCAAACCAAACACGACAATTCCTAATTCCAGATTCCAATAACATAATCCATATTCTGTTACGACTGGGACATAAGGAGCTCAAAGCCATAATGCGATAAATCCATTTAATTTTTTCCTAATATTTCTTATTCACATAATTTCTCTAAAAATAGACCCTCAAAAATAATTCTTATTCAATAAATCAGTGTAAAAAATTAAGGAATCCAAATGCAAAGTAACGAAAAGGGAAAAATAGGGTATCAACTTCTACATAACGACAATAAAACCACAACAAAAATGAGAAAAGATCCCTACTTATTTGTGTGCAATTGTACAGATGTACATTTAAGTATCTATGCATCGCTAAGTTAGTGCAAGACTATGGGAAATAATGAAAAGAAACGGCCATCAAGGAATGAGGATGCAAATGTTTTCAAGAATAGACTATTGAAGATCAATTTTCAAGAAAAAAATTGCTTAATGAATCACTTGCAATCATTGGTGTCACACCAAGTCACTATGTTAAACTCAAAGTTGTTAAACTAATAAAAAGAGTTCTTCAAGAACAAAAAACAAATAAAAAAAGACCAAGAAGAGTTGTTTGTAGTAAAATTGAATGAAAGTTGTTACCCTCATTGGATTAATTTGGTGAAGCACCGCAATCATGAAATTCATCAAACACCTAAATGGGGAAAAAACAATTCAATGAATTAAGAATGGTTAGTACCATTATTAGTTTTAATTTCATTTCAATAAAATTAAAGTCAAATTGATTTATTTCAATATAATTTCATTTTGTGTTATAGAGCAAGGTTCTAACTAAAGTTAATGTAAATAATGATTATTGTGTGCCTGGCTTCCAATCAATTGAGCAATTAAGTTCGTGGAAACATTTAAGGATCTAGAAATGAGAAAGAACAATGATCTAGAAATGGGGTGCACACAAGAGTACGCAACCCATTCGCCTACACACAAAAGTTGAATATTAATTATAAGTGAACAACAATCTGCAATTATTTCACGTATTTGTCAATTTGAACAACATAAATATACCATCAAAAACCACGTATGCAATATTCAGAATAATAAACTAAAAAATCAATCTTTATAGACAAAATAACAACAGGCATCTTGATAATTTCCACCATCAAACACAAGTATCACCGATATCTTGATTAACACTATTACTTCCAACTTCCAAGTAACTGCAACTATACATATGGCATCCTTAGATAGCAGTTGATATAAACGCCACAGCAAGAATACAAATGTATGTGAACATGTGGGCACTGCAATGATTTGGACTACATTCACATGCAAATTTGATTTCCGAAAAATGAACAAAGTATGACCGACTTTAATCACTATTTTCGGTTAGAACAAATATATCCTTCCACCTAACAATGGATCTAAGGGCTGGGAGGTCACGACCACCCCCAAGGCTTACCAAATTCTTTCAAATTATAGAGAATTTGCTAGGAAACTCTTATATGAGCAATGGTTGTGCATCATTAAATCGCTATATAAGATCCCCAAATAAGATCCAAATAGCATTTCCCTTTTACAATCATCCACCGGCTACTGTCAAGTTCAACTGAAGAAGGAAGTGAGCAGTTTACCAAACACGGAAGGACATTTCCCGCTATGACCTTGCCGGGACCATATATAACTCCAGGATAAACCGGCACTATGGGCACCCCCTTCAACGCAGCTTCTAAAGCAATCTTACCGGCAATGGCTTTCGATTTCTCATACTCCGTACAAAAGGACTTCGCAGGATGAATCTATATAAATAAAAAAAGTTTAAAAAATTATCAAGCAATAAATCATATAAAATTGCAATCGAATTCCTCTATACTTGACTCTCATCTGCAACATGTCCATCTGCACCCAAAACATCTTTGCTAAGCTACAGAAAGATTGATTTCAGGAAAATGAATGGTAACTGAACAGACAAATGGGAGAGAAAAATAAACAAATGAAGTGCTTTGGCAGAAATTGAGCAAAAACTCTCTAAGAATTTTTGTCAAACATGTGGTGTGTATGCTTGGTGGTGGAGGTGCTGGGTCGAAGCTTTGACAAAGATCTGCAGGGAACCCGTAACCCCACCAGCCCACCCCACCCCACCAACCCCTCTGAAAAGAAAAGATTGTGTGGTAACAGAGAAGGTGAGGGATTTGCAGCAGTGGACTGTCCCTCCTAAGCTCTGTCACCCACTCCTACTACTTACCATGTAACCGTTGGAAAGCTAAGATAGAAAGAGAGACAGCAGAGAAGAGGTGGGGGGTTAGTGTGTGTGTGTGTGTGAGAGAGAGAGAGAGAGAGAGATGAGGGATACCAGGAGGGGTTAGCAGTGGCGACAGTGCTGGCGAAGTGGTTGTGGTGGTGTTGCTGGTGGTATCGCTGGGGAGAGAGAGAGTAGGGAGTAAGGACTGACAGAGTTAAAAAAAACAAAAAAAACAAAAAAAACAAAAAAAAACAATGGAATGGCAGAGAGAAGTCAGATTTTGATTATTAAAAAAAAGAGACGGGGGGAGGCGAGATCTTGACCGGTGAGGTGACCCAGGTCTGATTTTTAAAAATAACTGGAGTGAGAGGGGACGAGTTTTGGGGGGAAATTAAATTAATGTTGGTAGTCGTGAGATGAAATAATTTAAGACCGTTCAATCAATTTGTTAAAATTATTTTATTTTATATTATAGATATATTTAAAAAAAAAATCTGATAAATCTTATTTTTTTTATACAAAAAATTATTTAATCCTATGGTATTTTTTATTTGTATAATTAAGTTTTATTTTTAATAATGTATACCTATTAAATTCTAAATATTATAAATAAAAATTATTACAATATTATTTTATTTTTCCTAACTAAGAAAATATCATTCAATACCTCTAATTCTCCGATTAATAATATTTAAATTGCTAAAAATTCGTATATTTCAGTATATTTATAACTCTCAACATTAAAAATAAAAATTAAGGAAATAATTAATAGGAATACATAAAAAAATACTCATATTGAGCCACATGATTTTTTTTAGTTTATTTTTAATTGAAATTATTTTANATCTTTGCTAAGCTACAGAAAGATTGATTTCAGGAAAATGAATGGTAACTGAACAGACAAATGGGAGAGAAAAATAAACAAATGAAGTGCTTTGGCAGAAATTGAGCAAAAACTCTCTAAGAATTTTTGTCAAACATGTGGTGTGTATGCTTGGTGGTGGAGGTGCTGGGTCGAAGCTTTGACAAAGATCTGCAGGGAACCCGTAACCCCACCAGCCCACCCCACCCCACCAACCCCTCTGAAAAGAAAAGATTGTGTGGTAACAGAGAAGGTGAGGGATTTGCAGCAGTGGACTGTCCCTCCTAAGCTCTGTCACCCACTCCTACTACTTACCATGTAACCGTTGGAAAGCTAAGATAGAAAGAGAGACAGCAGAGAAGAGGTGGGGGGTTAGTGTGTGTGTGTGTGTGAGAGAGAGAGAGAGAGAGAGATGAGGGATACCAGGAGGGGTTAGCAGTGGCGACAGTGCTGGCGAAGTGGTTGTGGTGGTGTTGCTGGTGGTATCGCTGGGGAGAGAGAGAGTAGGGAGTAAGGACTGACAGAGTTAAAAAAAACAAAAAAAACAAAAAAAACAAAAAAAAACAATGGAATGGCAGAGAGAAGTCAGATTTTGATTATTAAAAAAAAGAGACGGGGGGAGGCGAGATCTTGACCGGTGAGGTGACCCAGGTCTGATTTTTAAAAATAACTGGAGTGAGAGGGGACGAGTTTTGGGGGGAAATTAAATTAATGTTGGTAGTCGTGAGATGAAATAATTTAAGACCGTTCAATCAATTTGTTAAAATTATTTTATTTTATATTATAGATATATTTAAAAAAAAAATCTGATAAATCTTATTTTTTTTATACAAAAAATTATTTAATCCTATGGTATTTTTTATTTGTATAATTAAGTTTTATTTTTAATAATGTATACCTATTAAATTCTAAATATTATAAATAAAAATTATTACAATATTATTTTATTTTTCCTAACTAAGAAAATATCATTCAATACCTCTAATTCTCCGATTAATAATATTTAAATTGCTAAAAATTCGTATATTTCAGTATATTTATAACTCTCAACATTAAAAATAAAAATTAAGGAAATAATTAATAGGAATACATAAAAAAATACTCATATTGAGCCACATGATTTTTTTTAGTTTATTTTTAATTGAAATTATTTTAACAAGTACTTCAAAGTTTAATTTATTTAAGGTACAACTCTTTTTCTTTTTTTTTTTGGTACACAAAATGGACATGCAAATAATTATATCCGTCAGGGATAATGGACCCTCAACACTACACAGCAAAGGACCCCATGACACTTACTTCGGAACCAAAGCCAAGGTTTCATTGCGTACTCTAAGCACTAAAAATAAATTTAGTTGCAACGAATTATTGTAACTATGGAGACTCAGATCCAAGCATTGAGCAAGGAAATTTGAGCTATTATCCACTAGACCAACAACTCGTTGGTTAAGGTATAACTCTTCACAATTAAGTTTGGATCAACATTTCCTATATAGTCTATGCAATAATTCAATATTTTAGCTATATAGACTAAAAAATCATTAATTTATAAGCTGAAGAACTTATCGTTAGTTTATGAGCTAAATAACTCATCCTTTGTTTATGAGTTGAGGAGCTCATCATTTGTTTATGAACTAAGGAGTTCATCATCAATTGATGAGCTAAATAGCTCATCGTTAGTTTATGAACCGAAGAGTTCATTGTCAATTGATAAGCTGAAGAGCTCATCGTTAGTTTATGAGCTGAAAAGCTCATCATTAGCTTTTTAGCTACTTGACAGAATCATTCTGGAATGAGTTAAAAACTTGTTGTTTTATTGAAGATAGTCTTCTTACAAAAGAAACTCACTGAAAAAACCTTTTTAGATGCTCTTCGTAGTTCTCAGGTTTGATTATCCTCGAAACAATGTAGGGTCCTAACTTTCCATGTGTGCAGGCAGGAGTTTCCTGAGTACTAGATCTCTGACTTTGAAGCTTCTGTGTCTGATCCTCTTGTTGTAATACCTTGTTGTTTTCCTTTGATAATTCATGACGTGCTGCAAAACTCTATCTCTCTTTTCGTCCAAGAGATCAAGATTTACCAGAAGTTTCTCATCATTGTGCTCGGGCACTAAGAGTTCAGCCCTAGGGGATGGGATACCAACCTCCACAAGTGCCATTGCCTCGATTTCGAATGCCAAAACGAATGGAGTTTCCTGAGTTGCCATTCTGGCAGTAGTTTTGTAAACCCACAGTACTTCTAGGAGATGTTCCACTCATTTCCGTTTCAGAGCTTCTAGCTTAGTTTTCAAGGCTGTTTTTATGGTTCTAATAGTTACCTCTGCTTGTTCGTTGAATGGTGGATGGGCTGGAGCTGAAAAATAGTTCTTTATTCCTAGTTCGACACAAAACTCTTTGAACTTGGGATTTTCAAATTGCTTCCCATTGTTGAAGACAATTGCTCTAGGTATCTCAAACCTGCAGATTATAGACTTCCACAAAAAGTTTTGAACATTTTGCTTTGTGATGGTTACCGAGGGCTCCACTTCTGTGCACTTAGTGAAATAAATCTACCTCAATAATGACGAACTTGCACTGTCCAATACTAGTGGGAAGGGGCTCAAGTATGTCAAAACTCTATTACTAGAATGGCCAAGGGCTCACCACCGAGGTTAGGAGCTCTGATGGACAATGGGGGACATTGACGTGTATATGACAGAACTAACAATTTTTTGATCATATTTGTGGCATCTTTGAGCATAGTAAGCTAGAAGTATCCCTACCTTAGTGTCTTTTCTGCCAGAGCTCAAGCTCCGATATGGTTATCGCAAACTCTCTTGTGGATTTCTTTAAGGATGTAGTTAACGTCCTCGTCTCCCATGCATTTAAGGAGAGGTGCCAACAAATCTCGTTTATACAGGTTCTCTTGTAGGATTGTGAATCTGACTAACCTGTCTCTTAGCTTCGTGGCCTCTTTAGGGTCTTTTGACAACGTTCCATTATGAATATACTCTCTAATTGGGTTCATCCAGCTCAACAGGGCTAATACACGGAGCACTTCTTTATCCTCATAGCTTACAGATGGTTTTGCTAGGTACTCTACTAGTATCAACCTATCCAAGCTTTCCTAGGAGGCTGTAGCTAGCCTTGCTAAAGTGTTTGCTTGTGAATTCTCATTTTTGAGGACATGCTTGATTTTAACTTCCACATATTTCTTGATCAATTCTTGCACCTTTTGAGGTAGAGGATCATTTTTTCTTCTTTGGCCTCATAAATTTCTTCTATCTATTTTACCACGAGCTGGGAGTCGCTGTAAATTTTAAGTTGTTCTACCTCCATCGAATGGGCCAGATTGAGTCCAACGATGAAAGCTTCACACTCTGATTGATTGTTCGAGGTCTTAAATCTGAACCTGAGGGCATACTCGACGTTTATTCCATCTGGGGAGGTCAGAATCAACCCTGCACTACTTCCTTGAGCATTGACAGCTCCATCTACTGAATGCTTCTAGGTGGGGAGGTTAAGTACCAACTGTGTTGCCTCCATAGGAGCTTTTGTAGTAAATTCTAAGATAAAATCTGACAGAATCTGCCCTTTGATTGCTACTATGTGTTTATACCTAATATCAAACTCACTGAGCTCTATGACCCATTTGACCAACCTCCCTAAAGACTCTAGTTTATGCAATACCTACTTCATTGGCTGATTTGTTGGGACTTCAATGGTGTGAGCCTGGAAGTATGGTTTAAGTCTTTTTGCAGCTGTAATCAGAGCTAAGATAAGCTTCTCCATTTTTAGATATCTCTCATCTTTCCCCCTCAGAGCTCTACTA